TACAAAGTAACGGCATATACGCCGCATTGCAAGGTCCTCATTCTCAATGCAAAACCTAAGAATCGCTCATTGCAAAAGTGTATGAAATCACGATTACAGGCGTTTGAGATGGGCTTGGATCATTTGCGGCATCCAAATAACAGTTTCAATGTTAAATATTTCCCATTGACTTATAATTAGTGAAGTCACGTGACCAGCTTGACCTTGGGTGAAAATTTAGGAAAGTTGGAGGAATTGATGTTGTGAAATCTCAAGAGCCGTTACTATATGCCGTTACTTGTTTCATCCCCTGCAAAAGGTTCCCTTACACTGAGAGCACTGCAAAGCTGCAACTTTTTGCATCATTCCGAGGTTTATTTGTGACGTCATAGTCAGTAAGCTGATCTGAGCCTGTTCTGTTGGCGTCAACAGATTCGGATTAAATCAATGTTGAGGTGCGTATTTGGAAATTCCGACCTCGACGAGCATCTGTGGTAGAAAACCACCACTTTCGTAGGGGAAACTACTGCTGTCTGCTACCATTTGCACTGCATGTGTCGCTATAGTCGCGACATCTATGCAAACAAACCGCTTATAAACTGTTTACTGCGACATCTGTGTGCGCCGATTCTAGTTAGCGATTAGCTAGGGCACCAGGGTGGATCCATCCAGACTTTCGGTTTGGGGGTGGGGGGGGGGACTCATGTCATGGCCGGCCCGATTCCCGGCAGTCAAAGTTGCTGAGCGGTGGGGGGGGGGGAGGAGGAAGGTCCAATATGATGCCACAAAAGACATGCCTCTTGCCTATAGGTACAGGGTTGCCAGGGTGAATCAGGCTTTTAGCAGTGTGCCTCCTAAGACGTTCGTGATTTTTATCGATTCATCGAGTTGACGATTTGAGGATACCTTTCTCAAAGTGCCTATCATGCAAGAAAAAATAGAAACCAATGAAACGTTTTCTTCCAAAAATAAACAGATGGGACTCCTCAGAGCTAGACCACTGTAGCTGCAGTTTAATAACTCAGAAGTTGAGTCGCGCCTGAAGCCCTATATGCTAGTCAACTGGAAAGACCCAAAGGAGCCCGCCTAGGGCTCCCAGAGAATGGTGTAGGCCCCCAGGAGCCCGCCAGTGACCCCATGCGTGATTCCTACTATGGACGTCAAACCCCTTGAGACCCCACTTTTTTGCGATAAAATGCGTCAACTTTCGTTGACAATATTCTGGCAATGTATGTTTCAGAACCTGCCGAAACTTTTATTACTAAGGTATTTTGACGCCAGACGATTATGGAAGGTACTTCTCATTCACTCGTAATGTTAAGGTCAATTCAGGCCCGGGCAGAGGCTTGCGCTCGGCCACACTCGAGCCCCGCCTCCAGCGCCATCTGCTCTAAATGCCATCTACCAGCGCCCGCTACCGCTACCAGCTACCGCCCACCATCAAGCCTGAATGGAGCGAGAGACGCGAGTGACCGGTCGCCGGGCAAGGAGCGCCGGAGGGGTAGGGCGGAGCTTAGCGCTGACGTCATTACGTGGCTCCGCCCCATGAGCGCGTAGCCTCTACCCAAACAGCGGATTCGTTCCGTGAAATTTAACATTACGAGTGAATGAGAAGTACCTTTAATAATCGTTTGGCGTCAAAATACCTTAGTAATAAAAGTTTCGGCAGGTTCTGAAACACACATTGCCAGAATATTGTCAACGAGAGTTGACGCATTTAAAAATTATCGCAAAAAAGTGGGGTCTCAAGGGGTTTGACGTCCATAGTAACTTAAGTTAGGAATACCAAGTGCCTGAAAGTGCTAAACTTAAATAACTATATTATGCATACCGATCCTAACATTATTCAAATCAATCGCTGAACGTTTCAAGGCGATCGTGCCGTCGGTGTAGCTATAGCCGAACATTTTAAGTTTTTTCGAGGTGAGGTCAGTTGGACTGACCTGGTGGCCTGACAATTTTAACTTTGTTAACCTCAACTTCCGGAACCGACTGAGCCGGTCCTGTAGCTCAGTCGGTAGAGCCTTGGACTCCGCGAGGTGAGATCTCGCGTCCCGGACCCAAGTTCTTAAAGTTAAAAAAACGACGCGGAACGCTGCCGTTACTATGTACTTACATCACGTTACGACCTTCCCTAGACCAGTTGCACCTTAACCCTCGCCCTGGCAGGGGGGGGTCGATGCGACCCCCCCCCCCTAAGGTTTTTCGAAGATAGCGTAAAAACGGCGGCGCGCAGCGCCGCCAAAGTTGGCACAGCCTATGGGGCAACCTTTTTACATATGACCTGAAAATTTCAGGTCCGAGTGACCTTGGGTCAGGTCACCAGGTCAGAAAAACCGGTACAAGGTCATGGTCAAATTTCAATTTTCTTTTTGTACCTGTCCAACTCACAGTTTTCGACTGATTTCCTTCAAACTTTCAGGATGTGCTAAGTTCACCGAGTTGTATAACATATAGTCCGCCTTTTTTGAGGTCACTGACATGAGGTCAGTTAGAGGTCATTACGTCGTAATGTTAAGCCTATGGGAAAATACTAAATTCGGAAAATACTGGAGATATCCGCTTCGTTCTATCACTTTTGTGCTTTGAAACCACGGTACTTAACAGCAGGTCACTTGGTGCTTCTTTGTTTGGTGTACTTATCCATGGGTCAGGTCAAATGAGGTCAACTGAGGTCAAATAACGTTTTTGCCAATAACTTGGCACATAATGACGCTAGAGCTTAAAAAATGGTACCATTGTGTTCCTGGTGATCAGCCGAATCGAATGATATGCAATATGATGCAATTTGGTTAACTTGAACTTATTTTATTAATTTAAGTTTACTTAAAATTTAAGAAAAACTTTAAGTACACTTAAGCAAGCTAAAAAGTACATCATTCGACGCGCCTTGACGTGCTGAGTTCACTGGTGCTTTTCTTTTTTCTCTATCTTAATTAGATCAAAATTTATAAGCGAAAAACTTTTGACCTGTTTTTAGCGAAATTTTTACATTTATACCCCCCAAAACCCCCCTAAATATTGACCTAGAGCAACCAAATTTGCATAGGGGCGAGAACTCCAGGGGGCCCACCTACCTACCAAATTTGGTGTTTCTAGGTGCCATAGGAGCGAATCCCGAGGGGGGGGTCGCATCGACCCCCCCCCCCCCTGCCAGGCCGTGTTATGAAAAATGCCCTGCCAGGGCGAGGGTTAAGTAGTTATATGTACCTACTACCGGTTTACATAGCCTTGCTACTAACTATATTATGTTTCCTATGTATAAGCTGTGCATACTCATAGATGTCGCAACTGTAGCGACACATGCAGTGTAAATGGTAGCAGACAGCAGTAGTTTCCCCTACCAAAGAAGTGGTTTCTACTACAGATGCTCGTCGAGGTCGGAAATTCCAAATACGCTGTTGAGGTAGGTAGGTAGGGTATGTCAAATTTCAGCTCTCCAGCCTTACAGCGTGCAAACGATCTCGAGAAAACCGTTGGGGCTGCACATCAAACCCTCCTCTTCGGCCGGGTGGGGAAAAAATACTATGAAAGTGAATGTTAGTGGAACATGGAGCATCCCAAGCCACTCACTACCTCGAAATGTATTAATTTAAATGCATTATGTATGCATTTAAATTAAAACATTTGCAATGCATTTTACATGTAATGTAAAATGCATTAATTTCAAAACGTTATAGATGCTTCCAGTTCCAAGAAAACAGAATACAATATCGGCGAGTTTTCAAGTACTTGTAATTTTGTCACCCCCACCCACTCTGACCTGGTCACGCCAGTGACAATTGCAATCAATTACCTTCAAATGCCGCATTTTGGTACTCATATATTTTTTTGTGGCAATTGGCAAATTTATTCATCAAAATTACTGAAAGTCCATTGTTACAAGGACAGAGCGAACTTCATGCGATTACTAGCTAAAGCCTTCTCCTTATTTGACTCTAACACAGCCTCGGCTCTTATGAACGAAAGTTGTGTAGGTATGTCCGGCCACAACGTTCGATTCACAATTTTGATAATTCCTAACGTTTCATTGGTGGATCCAGCAGGACGTTTTTCTTTGGGGGGGGGGCAAATGGCCGAAATGGCCCCTTCCTTTCCATGCACCGCCATAGGCGCAATGTTAAAACTCGGGTCTTTTTTTGGGGGGGGCAAACGGGCTTGGGGGAGCATGGCCCTACCCCCTGGATCTGCCAATGTAACGTTTCATCAGTGCAAGCTGCTTAGAAGCATATCAGAATTACATGCGAGGCAGCCGATATCAATGTTCAGCTCAAAACTAATTTTTTGACCGAAATTGAACAATGTTCGAAACTACAGCGAAAGTGAAGCAAAAATCATTCAATAATCGCATGCCTGTTGTGTGAGTGTGAGTCCCAGGCTTGTATTTCTAATTTTCATGAAACAGTTCGAGGGTATGTGGGTAGGAGAATGATTGGCTCTGGAAGGCATCACCAAATGTTCCCTTTTACTAAAAACATTGTCGTAAACAAACAATTATATAAAAAGTTAAAGGCAAAACATGTCTCCAAATTTTTGGACATAAAATTTCCATATCCAGAGGCATCTTTTGGCACAATGTTTTTGTCAAAAAATTAAATGGCCACCTTTTTATAATCGAAAATCAAAAATTCATTATTTCAAAAAAAAATCTTGTGATTTTGAAAATTTTAAATACTTTGGCTGGATAATTTTCTACAGTCAATGAGCATTCCAATAATATACATATTAATATAGGTTACTGGCTATATTTTTTGATAATACGAGTTTAAAAGAGGGTTACTCTGGGCATTTTGAAAAATGCCTCTGGCTATAACTCGTAAACCGTTCGTAGAATAACGCTAAAAAATAAGAGATTATGAATCTATGGTACGGATAACCTCATAAACGCAATTTCATCAAACTATGAGAGGTAGGGTGTTTGGCTTGCTCGATCTGTCGTGGAACGCCCCAGGTACTGTACTCGTATTGCAGATAGTAAGGTGCAGCACCAAGAGGGTGGCATGCTGTCGGTGGTGGCGCACCTGCACGTCAGAGAGAGCTTCTGTGCCAGCTGCATCTTCTCCAGAGACTGGCTGGCTCTCTTCTCTGCCTCCAACTGCTTGAAGCGCTGCCAGTCTTTGATGACGCCCTTGGGCCCAGTCTGCAACGCACGTGGTCACTGGTTAGAGACACGTGGTGGCAAGATACCTATAAGAAATCGGTAGATCGGAAGTTGAAACGTAAAGCCCTGGTGACGTTACGGACATTCTTTAAAGTGACCATCCCACCTTAACCTTCCAGGCGGTGGGGGGCATTTTTACCCCCCCCCCCTTTAGTTTTGTCGACATATCTCGAGAACCGCTGCGCCGATCGTCACCAAACTTTCGGTACCCTCCCGTGAACAGCTATTGCACATTGTGACCAAAAATTTTCCCAAAGGCTATGATAGGTTGGACGCTAATGACGTCAGAGTGACGTCATTTCTGCCATTTTCGACCCAAAAAAATGTTTCGCGAGAAGAGCTTGTCAGGCCTACAGCTCTAGAGATACAGAAAAATGTTTCAGACATAAAAGGTGTAGAATTTGGAGGGCTACAAAACGGCTATCTCGGATTTTTGAAACTTTTGGATTTTGACCCCCAAAAATAAAAAATATATTTTTTAATAAAATAACCGAAAAATCCATTTTTTTTAATTTCAAACGAAACCGGAAAATATGTGAGCATACCAAATTTGAGATCGATACCTCTTTTTTTGGCCAAGTTATAGCGAAAAAAAACTTCAAAATTGATGACGTCAAATTTTCAAACTCAATTTTTAGCAATTCTAGACCTCGTAGCGTAAAACAAAGACCACCATTAGACTCCCCGTGACGAGCTGCATCGAATCAATACTCATTTTATGCAAAAATATCAACTTTGAAATTTGACCTTTTTTGACCTGCCCTTGACGTGACCTCCACCAGAAAGTGACCTAAACCGTTCCTGATAGTCTTATAACCAACACCATTGAGTTGGAAATGAAAAATTGGCCATAAAACATGCATCGCACAACCTTAGTAAAGTTGGGTTCATGTGGTGACCCTCGGTGACCTTTGGTGACCTGACCTGTGACCTGACCTGGTATGACCAGTGACCTCTAATAGCAACATATGTACTAGACAACTGACGCCCTATCGCTGATTTTCGACAAAATGCGTTTTACTCGGTGTTATAGCGCTTTCTCTAGAAGCCCCGTTAAAGGGACTGTCCCACCTTAACATTAGAATTGAGTTGAGATAGCCATCTTGATGGGCGTTCTTTGAAAATCAGAGCCGTGAAAACCGTTTCTCCAGCAATTACTTCATCGCAAATAAATTCGTGTTTGATTTTGACATCTGTGCAAATAAGTGCCACAATGTATTGGTATTGGCACTTAAAACCTGTGACGTTTCCGCCTTTTCCGAAGTTTCTGAATCTGTCGACTTGTTTTTTATTGAAACCTTGAAAAATAACAACGCCTCTTGGAACAGCGCCCATTCGTTCCGGCGCCACGAGGTGGAGAATTAAACTGATATGCCAAGCTAATTCTAAAAGTCTTCTAATTCTAGCAGTATTTTTATTTTTGTATTTAAATATTTAAGAGGCCGTCCTAAATGTGACTGAAGAATGCAAGAGCCATGAACTTATCAATGGCAGGTATCAAGTTCAAGTGTGCAACTCACTGAAATTAATCATAGTATCAAAATGATAAATGATTTGCTCACTGCTGTTTCAACTCCATAATCAAGACATGCTCTGAGGAGTCCACAATCTATTGATGGTGCAACTAAGGAAGAGACAATGAATGTTCACCTTTTTATTTCTGAACATCCAAGACGACTAACCTTGAGCCGTTAAACATTGATAATACCCTGTTTGCTGAAGTGTGGGTGGCCTGAGGTCGACCATGTCTAGTAAAGAACTGTTGTTTGTGTAAACACCATGCAGAGGTGTTTTGAAATAAATTTTAGTGATGTAATGCATCATTCTTTGAACTGAGTTGCTGATGGCGGATGAAAGCGGAAGTGCTGCACGTTGAATCAGAAATGCTCTGTTGCGCTTTTAAGCTTATGTTAGATTTTATAGATGGCTTAGTTTTCCTGCAGATTTCATCTTAAAGCTGTCAATAGTGTTTTACTTTTGTTTCCTGGGAGCAGATCCAGCTACTAACATCAGCACGGCCACGGGACCAGGACTGGGCCTTTGTACCACAGTCGCTGCGCTGCTTGTGAAAACCTACAGGGTGTTTCACTAAAAGTGTCAAAAAGTAAATGCCTATTAAAGATATATAGAATATGCAAATCACGTGGCTGCGCACGTGGCTTTGTTGCAAATTTTTGGAGATTTATTATTTATCCATTTAAGATATATTTTACACTCATACGGAGCGAGGGCAGGAGGCCAAAGTTACTAGTCATTTTTCCTTACGCAGAACAAGAACAGGTTATTTACACCGCAACAGGAGGGATGAATTACACTTATGTACATTTGGTGCCATCAGAAACATTGAAACCGTATGCCGACTTTTCAGGAAACTTTTTACTCTCTCACCTCGCTACGTTCCAGATTACAAAAGTTCCAAAGGGCTTGTTGAGAGGTTTAAAAGGGTTCCTTCGATGCCGGTTCCAGTCCAAAAAAGGCGGGGTTGCCCCCACCTCTCGGCGGAAACCGTTGAGAAGGTCAGGGTCTTTTTGAGGGCCTTTGAAGATAACAAGAAGCTAATTCCAACATCAGAAATAGCCAGGGCCTTACAAGTTATTAAAATCAACCACTGTAACGGTTGTAGCCACCAGGAACTGACTGGACCAGAAGCTCCTGGGCCGAATAATCAGCTGCCTCGCCGCCCGCCCCTGGCCAGCGCGAAGCCCCGATCTGTCACCGCTAAGCCTCTGGTTTGGTCAGTGACTCAGTAGCCCTCGCAGAGCTGAGGAAAACTCAAGTCGCATCACTTCGGGAGCTGAAGAGCACAATTCAAGGCTTTGCCGACAGTCTGGACGCTGAAGATGAAAACGGGCTGTGAGGCACCTCCGGACACGTGCCGAAACGGTGCATCAAAAGAAGGGGCAGATGTGTGGAATAGGTTTGAGTGACGGTGATATCGTTTTTATATATTCAAATGTCCAACAATTGCGGATGAAATGATATGCAAATTTCCTTAGAAAACATTGTTATTATGTGCATTATGACCTTTTACTTTTTGACACTTTTAGTGAAACACCCTGTAGGTAATGTGCTTTGTTAGGCCATGCTGTGCATTTTTTAAACCTTTAGAGTACTTTGTGATCATTGACACACATATTGCACCTGACAAACAGCAGCAAAATCACACCCCATCCTTACCTCTGTGCAGTGTCACCCAACAGACAACAGGGCTTCAAAACAGGCAGGTTCCGCATTCAAGTCGCTTCTTGCAACTATGTGACTAATGTTAGGACAATAGACGTGCTGCACAGGGAAGATGTGTTCTGTGTAGCTCTTGAAAAATGAAGTCATGCCTAAAATTCAGTTTAGAATATTACAATTACAAATAACTTGGATAAAAGTTGCAAAACATGTACTCTGACTGGTCAGTTGAAATATCTTGAGTCAGTGAACCACGCCAGGGCTGGAGGTGGTCAGTTCCCTGACTTGCGCGACCTCGGGCAGGAGCTGTGGGACTTGAACATGGACAAATTGAATAGACGCTAGCCTAGATTATGTTGTGGCTGCAGTCCAAGACGTGTTCACCAGTTGCCGTTGCTGCCGCTGCCTGCTGCTGCCCTGCGTGCCGGCTGGCAGCTCACTGCTGGACTGTTTGCACGCCAGGCATCCTACTGGACGAGTGGGGTAGGTCGCAGATCTTTGAGAGTGAAACGTTTGGTCTAAATGTAGCTGAAACTCTTACAAATAATTTAATTAAAAGGCAAAATTTCAGAGGACTCCATTGGTGTCTCAGTGGTGACAATCAGAACTTGATCAGAACTGTTATCATGCTGAATGCTGAAACTGAGGATAGGGCTGAGCTGTCAGCTGGTAGGCTAGAATTTAATATGCAGGCTTACAAGGTCCCCAGTTAATCCACAAATTTGTCAGACTTGCCTATAGACAAATGTATGCAGATGAAATGTTTCTGGCAGATAGCCCTGAGGCAAAATGCTATTCAAGCTTGTTCGGCAGCTCGTTGCGTTCCACATGAGCCACTAAATCAGAGTCACACACCTCTGTCAAATGTGCTGAAAGGCCACGATTTTTCCAATAAGTTGGTATATTTATTATTTTTCACAGACACAACAAAAATACAAATGCAGGTCACTACAATTCATTCTGCTTCAATTACAATTGCTGGAATGTGTTTTGCAGACTTATTATATTGAATCTTGAACAGACTATATTACATTACTTTGCTCATGGGCCCAGGCCAGTACTGCAGAGTATGGCTCGCAGGTCGCTAAGGAGCACTGGCCTAAGTTCAAAATTGAAACAAACCCTGCAAACAGAGCCAGAAAATTCACACCAAAGGGGGCTGAGAGAACACAAAAAATGCACCAAACCCCAAAATGGCCAGTCAAAATCTGCACTGACCTCAAATCCCCACAATGCTACACATCTGCACCACAGCAAGCCAAATTCGCACCCCGCTACACTAAATCTGCACCACACCAAACCAAATCCTCACCGCACCACACTTAAATCCGCACCAGACGAAGGAGTCTGCACTGACAACATCTAGACAAAATTGCCATACTTTGCAGTCTGGCTCATGGCTATATCCATTGTGATTCTTAGGTCTGATTATTGAAGTTGAGCTCACTTCCATCATCCATGTGCCCAAGACATTGTGGGCGCATCAATAATCAAACATCAATATCTTGCTTTTGCTTATTAGGGAGCATTCTATAATCTTTTAAAAATGATAAATAAGGCCTTGTTGATATTCTTTGCAGTTTGCGACCTTCTTCTTGACAAAGTTCAAGCTTCACTTTTCCAATTTTCACTTCAATCCTTCCATGAACATTGAACATTTACATATATAAAAATCAAAATGTCCGTATGTATGTATGTAACGCGTCAGTCACGCTTGGCGGGCTATTGCTCCGGAACGGTGCGGGCTACGGGGGTGAAATTTTCGACGCAAGTAGGACGCGTGCATCTGTTTGTTGTAT